TGTAGAATATTTTTGTTTTTAATGAAGGCTAGTAACAGAGCCATCAGTGCATTAGAGATTGATATGAATTTTTTAAAAAGTCAGAAATAAAAACTTTTAGCAACTTCAAAAATTATTTCAATTTGTTAGTAAAAATGCATTTTTTTGGTATAAGTCTCCATAAAAGATGTCACACATATGGGCCAACTAATACAGAATCTGCAACCTTTTTCACAAGGAGCAGAAAAGTATAATAGAAAATGTAATTACTGCTGTTTTTGTTTGTTTGTTTTCCAGTGAAAATATGTCTATCCTCCATGCTCCAAGAAAAATTCTGGTACTGATCCACCCCTAAAATTATTGTGCTTCAACCATTAGGATTTCATATTATCCCCAGGAGCCAGGGGCTGATACACACTATCTGCCAGGAAGGTAACAATCCTTCCTTGCTGCAAACAAAATTATTAAGTTTCAATAGAATAAAAATATATGGTATTAAAAACATAATCATTTTGTGGTCAAAATTCTTTGGATTAAATATAAAATCTGAGCCTTCTCTTAGAAGGATTCCTTTACATACAGCTAAGAAAACTACATCAGTCATAAATGAGGTTTACAGGAATCTATTACCTGAGTCCCTGATAGAAATTGTGTAAAATATTAAGGTGAAAGACTCTAATAATCTATCTCACTGTATAAATAAACACAACCTGACAAGTTTTCCCATATCAAGGCAAATTTTCTGGATGCCATAGATATTTTCCAATAGTCCTTCTCCCTTCATCTAACCTAACCTGAATTCCAGAGGACCATAACACATCGGCGTAACTTATGAACCACATACAAGTATGGAAGCATCAGTAGGGAGAAAGGACAGAAGAGATAGAAGTATAAGAAAGAAGGAAAAATATGAAGGTGAGAACAAAGAACAAGGGAGAAATGAAGAACAGAGGGGCATGTAATCCTCACCAAAATATAACAGCTTTAGTCAATTATTTTTTAAACATTTGGAATAAAGCTATGCTAACCAAACAAGATCCTTATAAGAAACAATCCATTCTGATTATCTGTCAAGCGAATAACTTGCTATAACAAGTGCCAAGTTTGTACTGTATTCATGCCTTGATTAAAGTAAGGATTCTCAACTTATTCTATTCCCCATTGGATTAAAGAAGCAAAACTAAGACAATTAAAAAAAAAATAAAGGTATGCTTACTGAGTGCTAAAGCTTCAAGTTCAAGGGTCTGTCTTCATTATCTGACTAAAACCAGAGAAAGGTCAAATCATAAAACACTAAAAACATCTAATAGATTACTTCGTGGCATAAAAATGTTTTCATGATTTTAGGCACCCAACAGGTTTTTCCAAAAACAAACAATAATAAAAGGAAAAACCTACTATTAAAGTACATTAAGAGGGGCCTGGGGTGTAACTCGGCAGCATAAGTGCTTGCGTGGCAAGCGCAAGGTCCTGAGTTTGAGCTCTGATAACACACATACACACACACACACACACACACACACACACACACACACAGAGATAAAAAATTTTAGTCTCTTCCGGATTTTTGTTTTGCATTTTAAGTCTTTGATGAGTAAATTATTGAGATTTGGGGATTATGATTTCTGATTTTTAGTCTTCTGCAGAGTAGTCACGCTAAGGCACAATTCTGAGTTACTTTCTGATTGTCTCTCATGGAAGCACACCAAAACCACCATCCCAGGAAGTGGCCTTGAGGCCCATTTTGCAGAGGTATATCTCTTTCTGTCTGCTGGTTTCCTACAGATGGCTAAAGCAGGGGGATAGAACATGCTGTCATATTTCATTCATAACACACATGTACTGTAGCTCTAGGCAACAGATGGACAATCACTTGTTTAAACTACAAATGTGAAATCCTAAGGTAGAATAGCAATATTTCTAGAAATGCATATGAACAAAATGCCTTTCTAAGCCAAGGGGAATGGCAAGAGGCTGTGAGGTTACAGCAGTGTTTCCCTGACTTCCCTAGCAGCTGCCATGATTTCCCCAACACCCTTCCAAACGTGGTAACGGAAGGATCCGGGGGCAGCCGACACAGATTTGACAAGAGAGGCCCAAACCACATCAAATCCAAGTAACACTGTTATTCCTGGCTGGTTCACATTAATAGGATTTTTACTAAGTAGGAAAATGATTGAAAGTTGTGTTTTCTGAGCTCTGTTTCTATTCTATAGCCTGACTGATTAAAAAAAAAACCAAAAAAAACCTCTCTTTCCTCCTCAGGACCCCAGATATTCAACAGTTGCTGAAACTGCAATGCATAGATGACAAGGGGGAAAAAAAAATAACCCACATCCCATGAGCTGCAGAGATGTCAGCTTCTAACACTCTTGGTCCCTTACGTTGGGACACATGACTTATTTGCGTCTCAAAGACAGTATCACCTGCCAATCAAACTCGGCACCAACTCAATGATCTGGGAATCCGAGTAATTAGAGAAGCTTATTTTGGTCCAGGGCTGGGGCTCAGGGGTAGAGAGCTTGCCTAGCATGCAGGAGCATCAGCACTGAAAGAACATCTGAGTTTGAAACAATCTGCTGAGCTTATGATGTAGCGGGTTTTCTAAGTCTCTCATGTCACACAGAAATATCAAATAGTTGTGCTTTTAATAGATTTTAAAAAATAGGTATATTTTTACAAAACTTTGTTATAGACTCTGATTTTTTTCTGGTATGTATTAAAATGATAATAAAGACAATATATCAAAAGATAAAGTGAATATATAATGATTAGGGTAATATGATCTTTGTATCTCTGTTATAGGCAAAATTTCATGTACTAAAACAGTAAAGAGTGACTTGGCATTGTTTAGATCAAATGATTAGTAGAAAAAGACAACAATAGAAAGCAAAATAAATCACATATTTAAGAAATCCTAGAATAAAATATGGTAGAATCCTTTCCTTAGTAGACTTTGTGAAAGAAAAAAATCTAAATCTAAATATTCTGTGTATTATGTGTGCACATTCATTGTTATAAAAGTGTAAGTTTATTAAAAAAGATTTAATGAAAAATCTTTGGTAAAGATACTCTGAGGTTATGTGATGAGAATGTATTACAAAAACTGTGAGGAAGTAGAATTCTGCTGGCAATGACACAGAAAGACACAATGCTGTCCTGTGACAGCATTTTCTTAAAACTTCTGCTTTTGGCTTGTAAACATTCAGTTACGTAGGGCTTGCAAGCAACAAATAGGATGGCATTGCATTTTTATGGTATCATTATTTCCTCAATTCTTTAGGCAGAACATGTTTTATGACTACTTCTAGACGTAGAAGCCATCCCTCAATAAATCGGACTCTTTGCTTCTGGTCTCTAGACCATTTCTGCAAAGCAGTGAACAGTAAACCCATTAATGAATCAATTCAAGCAGAATACATGACCGCCCCAGTTCTCTGGGAGTCAGTGCTGTGGGAGGTCCTCAGCACATATTTACTTTAGAAAACAGGAATTCAGAGACACAGCTCCCCTTGTATCCTAAAACTCACTCACTGTCCTTAAGTGAATCTCATTATATTTCACAGTATGAGAAATACAAGGTCAAAGGTAAGAGAAGCCGGTAAGAATAGGACAATGCTCAGAGGACGCTCGAAGAGTTTATGTCCCCAGAGATGCTAAGACAAAACTCCTGTGTGACGTAAGTCAAGAAGCTTCTGGATGACTTAGATGAGCTGTAGAGATCACACGTTGAAGAATTTCTCTTAAAAAACAAAATCATTGTTATGATGCTTCCTATCTATGTGAAATAAATTTCACTGAAATTTCTGAGGCCTGGGTCTCAATTTAAAACATGCACCGATAATTTTTCATTTTGGTTCTGGATGTTAAAATTTAAAATACAAAACAAAAACAAAAACAAAAAAACCAGACAAGAAAACTAGCACTTCATAGTTGTGAAAAAGACATTTGTGGAATAAGGGATAAATGAACAAGGAAGTGTGACTACATTTGTTATATCTGATTTCTTAACTAGGCGTTACTGTATATAGGGATTCATTATATTATTATCTATACTTTCCTGTATATTTAAAATATTCCATAATTTAAAAAAGTATATACTTGGGGAAGATTTGAAGAGAGGTTTAAAAACTCCTATGCCAAAATATCTAATTAGTTTACACAATGGCAAATTGCCACTGTTCAGCTAGGTGTCTTTCCTCAAATAAGACACACTGGAACTTAATAAACATGGTTCCACAGTTGGTAAGCAAGTGTTTCCCTGGCTAGTAAGAGTCTGGCTAAAGATTTTAGGCAGAAATTCTGCGTATTTTTAGCTCAGAAAGAGAACTTTTTTCAGTGATTGTCGCAGCAAGTGTGGTGTACATGTCACACTGCTGATAGGAAAATGCTTCCCACACTGTGTAAGTCAAGTTGTAGAAGGATTAGGAGGAGAACAAAACCGAAGCTTCACACTCTCTTCAAGCCTTCCTCTCTTTCTCAGCAAATGAAATAAAGCAACACAACTCCATTTTGCGTCTCTTGACTTACAATTGTTAGGCCCAACAGCCTGGGGCCTAGGAAGATTCAGAAGCAAGCAAAGAAAGAAATCTGAAATATTTTCATCGCTATCTTTCTTCAGAGGGGAAAGCCCGTCAGTAGTGGTGTTTGTATATTAGGGAAAAACATCACAACATTTCTAAGATGAAAAGTATTGAAAATGTTACAAAAGCAAGTGTGTTTGTGTTATGTGTAGGTAGTGGGAAAAAGGAAAACCTTAGGGTAGTATTTTAGAATAATACTCTTTTCAAACATATCCCCAGAATGCATACTGAGTGCATCCCCCTTGTAATTTCCTTGAAAAACAGCTGAAGGCTGGTTGTGTTTTACTCTTAGCTACTAAGTGGTAACTATTTGCAACAGACCCCTGATCACACATCAGTACAGATTCTGAAGTTGGTTGTGTGCATGCCAAATTTAGGTCTGTTCTAATTCATGCATTCTACAACTTGAAGTTTTTAGAGCCTAACACAAATTGTGCATTGCTTTCTGTAAAGGCTAAGAGTGCCCACACAGCAACAGGGAAACACACTTTTCAATACAAAGCAAGAGAAGGGCTAATATTCGTAGCTACAGGCGGCGCGGGAGGGAGAGCACAGTGACTTCAAGCCTCCCAGCACCTGGGAGCTGGCAGACTTGACGAGGAAAAGCCATGTGACAGCAAATACCACACTAAAAAAAGCTACTGAACCCGATGAAAAGTGAGACCAACACGGGCACTGAAAGTTACAAGAATGCGGAAGCAAATGGGACGGGCATAATCTGTTGAAAAAATGTGGAAGTCCTCAGAACAAAGACCTGCCAGGGGCCCCTGCGGGAGTAAATGTGAACCGTGTACTTGGGAAGAACTTGAGAGAAAAAAGAAGAAAAAAAAAAAAAAAATCTCACAAGCCACGTGATTCTAAAGGGAGGTTAACAGCCGATGAAGAAAAGAGACCATCCCGTAGCTCGACTGCCTTGGCTCTATTTTCCTATTCCTCGTCTTGTGTTTCGTTCTTTCAGTGGCGTCCGCACCACGCAGCTACTGAAGCTACTCCATTCAAAGGTCGGTGCTCGCCTTGGCGGTCAGCACCCGGATGCGGGCAGAGTTGCAGGTCTTGCACAGGATGTGCCCATCCAGGGGGTAGCAGCCTTGGTTATCTCCTTCTGATAGGAGCCCACCGCAATCCTGAAAAACGAAGACAGATAGGGTGTAAATAAAACTGCAGACACCGGAAATCCAGATTTCTCACCCTGCCACTTGCAAACTCTGCAGCGTGGGCACTCACTACTTTTCCTGTGGTGTATATGCCTCCCCTCCCCCTAGTACACAACATTGGACATTGCAAATCACAATGAAGGAGGGGCTGGGCACTAAAATGATCCTACTGTGGTCACAGAAAATGAAATACACACAAAGTAAGAGATGAGCCAGTGGATCTAGGTTCCAGGCAGTGGTTTACTTCTCAAAAAGCAATGACACTAGAAAATAAAAATAGAGCCCTAATTCATCTTTATTCTTCATCATCACTTTCGGAGTCTCTCAAAAGGAATATACAAGGTACAGAAATGGAAAGTTTTGGTCATTTCTGGGCAGAAGCAAAGAGCTGTTCTCGCCAAGCAGAAGGGCCCTCTGTGGTTTATGCATGTTTACTTCGATTACAGCAAGAAAATAAGATCCTAAGGGACATGGAGAGTTACAGTTTTCTGTACTTTCTGAAAGAGTTGGTATGCTATAGAGGAATGAGTGCTATTCTGTGAGATAGGTCCCCGGGGGACCCTGGGGGGCCCCCTAGTTCTATCATTGCCTGCTCACTGCACACAAGGCAGAATGCCACTCTGAAAATGCTTCTTCAGTTTCTACCTTCCCAAGATGCTGGGAGGCTCAAAGTGGACACTGGATGTGCACGTACTTTATAAAAATGCAGAGATGAATAGCTGTATAGGATTACATGACTGTGGCCTGCATCTCGGAAGGTCCATTTGGGACAGACTACAAAGCAGTTGAATGCTGCCCCTTGCCTTTGCAGTGTACAAAGATTTCTCTGGAAAAAATCAATCTATAGAATGTCTAGAGATGTTGGTGGTATCTCTACGTTGTTGGTTGCTTTACTTCTGCGTCACAAAACCTTGTTTAGAAGCTGTTAGCTTTTTCTCTTTTAATTGTCCTCGCTCATGTCAGGACAGGAGAAAGGCATACAGCCCGGGCTCCAGGGCCAAACAAAGCATTCTGGAAATAGATGGTCACTTGTGGCTGAGGCTGGGAACACATCGATGCTTCCTGGAGAGAAAGGGTGGCCCTCACACACCTGCCAGTGCCTGTGACAGGAAGGCTTCCTCTGGGACTAGACAACTAATCCCAAGAGGCAGTGGTAACAAAAGATCCCCTACAGCACCCCACCAATGGAAGGGGGACTGAAAAGCACTGTACTAGTAAGGAAGGAAAGTGCTTCATGAAGGGCCTCAGTAGCTTGTGGAGCTATGATGATAACCATGGGGGAAGCGCGCTACCCTTGGCTATGTGAATGGCTACCTGTCCCTGAGCCACGGCTGACCTCATTAGAAGGGCTTTTCTTGCCACCTCCGGCCTGGACTGTGGTTCTGGCCCCTTAGACTCACTCTCCTGTGGTCCTTAGTAGCTCTCTGACTTCTTCAATGCTCAGTGCTTGCTAATAAGTGAAAATCCATGATTTGGAATGAGAACCTGCTCCTCCCTGAAGTGAACGGATTCTTACCCTTCTTGATCAGTGGTGCTGCGTTAGAGCCAAAGTTCACGATTCAGCATGAGATGATGCTGATGACAGTACCACTGCTTATTAATTTCATAACTTACAACCTATACATCTGTATTTTAGTCTCAGCCAGTACAGGTGAGAAAGCTGAAACTGAGAGAAGTAAGGTGACCCACCCAAGGTCACTTGCATTCAATGCGAACATCAGATCTAAATCCCAGGTCTGTCAGCACAGACATGCTGGCTTCCCCCAAGTTAACGACTGCTCCGCTCATGAACATCCAGCCCTCAGGGTGCTCTCTGTGCTGGCCAGGGCGCTGAGTGCCCACCACAGACCTCGCAGCGGTAGCAGTGCACATGGAAGTCGCGATCCAGAGCCACAATGCGGACAGTCTCCTCCTGGCCTGGGGCTGGCATGATGGGCTCCTTGCACACGGAACATCGGGGGGCAAATTTCCTGAAAATAAAAACTTCCGGTTAAATTCTAAGAATAGACACTGACAAAGGGGTGACAGCTGGGGAAGAAGGAAAGGTGTCAACACAGCATCAGGACAGCCAGTCTGCACTTCCTGTGTGACTCTGTCACTGTGCTCTGTCTGGGGCTGCTTTCTCTCCTGCACAGGGGGGAAGTCAGGGTGCTAAGGTCCTTTTAGCAGACAAAGATTGCAATATGTGGTGAGGTGGAAGAGCGAGTGTGGGGGCGGCTCTGCATGCAGGGCACCAGCAGCTATTCAGCCCACGGCCTCTGGCTGGCGGGGCACCTGTGTACAGGTTCCTGCTGCATGCCGGGCCACATGGAGGGGAAGCCTAGTGCTGGCAGGCCCACACTTGTCTCTGATTTTTGCTTCTAGCCCTTTGTACCCAGTCCTTAAGTCCTAGGCAAACATCCTGAGGTTAGGTTTGGCTCCCTTAGAATTCAGAGGACTTCTTTTTAAGAAATGTGTCTTGGATACCAGGAAGCAACCCAAGAAGCTTCACATGTATTGCTCTTTAGAATGCGAGTTTCAATACCTAGTACATCCAATTCAAAATGGCCAGATCTACAGCGCCTACATCCTGCTTAGTTAAACTTTTGTTTGAAAAGTTAAAGAGTTGTTACATTATTCTTTGAAGGCTTTGGCACCATTCAAAGCTATGATGATATAGACATCTATAAATATACATATGCCGCATACATTTCTGAGGTTAGTAGGAAAGAATGTTACTATCTCTTATTTCCTAATGACGTAGGGTCCCCAGCATTTTTCCCATCATAGTGGACTGATAGGCTGCAAACAGATGGGGTCTATCCAGGGGCAGCATTTGTGAAGATGTGAAAGGAGTCATGATTCGAAATGGACACAGGTAGGAACTGAAGAGATTTTCAAAAGAAAAGGAGACTGTGTGCAACTCAGTTTTTTTCCTGGTAATGGTTTTAAGATTAATGATGTTAAAATTTATCTATTTGTAGTGAGACTTAAAAGCAAATAATGATAGTAATCTAATACTTCACAGAGTACTTTAAGGTTGTCAAAGCACTTTTTACATACATTATACTCTATATGTACATATTAATTTTCCTGGCAGCATCCAAAAGGCATCTGTATGGCTGCAATCTAAAAAAATATGAATTAAGCAGCAGATCAATTGATTGCTATGAAAGAAAAATTAAAACGATCATGCTAGGACTGTAGCACTAATCAGAGTTGTTATAATTGGTATTTTATGTGCAAAGTTTATATTCAGTGGCAAAAAACTGCTTTGGACTACCTGATTATTTTTGAATCTGGGTCATCAGTAGTGAACTAAGCAGGCTCCTGGTAGGAATGGTAGAATGTCCTCTCCCGAAACCCACTGGGACTGTAAACGCCATGAGGGTAGAAGTGTGTTTTCCTTCATACTGTTTCCTAACCATAAGCCTCCTGCCCCAATTCTCCAAAATAGAAATCCTTACTCCTTGAAGTTAAAATTTCTTTCACTGAATGTATTCATTTTAATCATACTTTTTGTTTGTCCTTGGGGACCACTAACCTATGAGTGGCTAAGGATCAGAGATTGTTCCCATTCTCTCTGATCGCCATGACTGTCCTGAGAGAAGGCATAGGATAGTGTCTATCACGGTTCCTATCTAGGTGTCCACCAAAGCCTTGTGCGCTCAGAGGTGGGGCTATTAGAGGGGAGTGGATCCTGGGTGAGTGATATCATGTCTGAATTGGTCCCTGGTAGCCTGCGGTGATGCTGGAGTGAAGCCTGGGATGTCACGGATTCCTCCTCTTTCCTTGTTCTTACCCTGCTTCTCGTGGCCATATCATCATGCCCCTGTCCTCTGTCATGCCATCCTGCCAGGGAGCTGGAATGCTATGGACTGGAAGATCTACAAAGCGTGGGGCAAAATGAAATTCCTCCTTTTCCTTTAAGTGTCAGGCATTTTGTCCCAGCAACAAGAAAGTAACTAAGACAATATCTAATGAAACATAGTCTACAATATTTTTCCGTGAGATAAATGTTATTTAACACTGATGTTCAACCTCAAGGCCCTTCTTCTTCAGAAAGGAATAAACTGGAGTTTTGCTAATAAATGAGCCTTTCCTACCAACTGACCTTTTCATGATGGCAAACAGAAAAGCAAAGAGAGGAGAGGGGTCAGCAGAGTGTTCATGGGATGTCAACTTGAGGGGAGTTAAAAATCCCAGTGTTCTCTCTCAGTGCTAAATTCACTGAGTAGATAATAATAACAAATAATTTAGATGAAAGCATTTTTTATGATTCCAGTTACCATTCTTTGGATATTATTATGTGCCAATTATTATTAAACACTCTATACACTTAATGTTATTTTTCTCGAAGCATTATGAGGAAGTACCTTTATCATTTCTCCTTTATAGCCAAGAAAGTAATGAACTTTGCCATCTCCTGTGCAGCATATGTCTGACAACCAAGAAGTGGATGCGGATTAAACGTGGTGCTACCCACGCTAAGAAAGCACAGGCAGAAGGCTAAAGCTCAGCACACTGACTAGGGCAGAGACAATTGCTTCCCTGGGAAGCACTGCACTGGGAATGACCTGAGAGGGAGCTCTATGTTTTTATGAAGATGTTGCATTAATTTGTACACACATATTCTCTCTTATTACCAAATAACTTAAGATGCTTACTGTACAACTTAACGCCTAAATATTTCATTGCAAATCAGACCGTGGTGAGTACTGCCACCACGCTCCATCAAACTCGGACCAGATGTGAATTTGAGCGTGCGGAGAGAGAGGGCTGAGGTTGAAGACACTGTCTCAGAGGAGAGGATAACTGAGTTTGCCATAAAAGATGACTGCTAGGTTAGCAGATGTGTGTGTGCGTGCATGCGCGTGTGCATGCGTACGTGCATGCGTGTGTGCATATGGGCACTCAGCCAGGGAACCGAGGGCACAGCAGTCACTGAACTGACATCTGTGCAAAAGCTCATGAACCAATGATGACCAAAGGTGGCACATGGGAGGGACCTACCTCTCAAGACTCCAAGACTCTGCACATCAGGTTCTGTACCTCCGGAAACACCAGTTTTGGGGCCTTGCCAAGAGGCCACCCTTTTGATTCCCTAGGAGATTCCCCATAGGAATTCCTTTTCTTCCTATTATTCCTGAGTAACCCACCCTTCAAATTCTGCTTCCACACCCCCAGCCCTGGCCCCGAGCTGCGTAAGCTCTTCTGACTCCATAGCACAGGTTCTCCCCTGCTGCTTGCCTGGGCGCTGCCCCATACCCTACTCCACTGCTGCACCTGCACGCATGCTCTGCCTCTCTCTGCCTGCCTGCGCAATTCTGTTCCCTACAACCCTCTCCTTCAGTACCTGGCACAGTCACTGGCATGCAGCAGGTTCTCTGTCAATGTGAGTTGAACTGTACGGAAACACGTTTTCTAAAAGTGGACACAAAGCTGAGAGTGAGATTGCACACCCATCATCCCTGCACTTTGAGAGGCTGAGGCAGGAGAATCACAAATCTGAGCCGAGTCTGAGTAACTTAGTGAGTCTGTGTCTCAAAGTATGAAGGCTTGAGAGCGCAGCTCAGCGTGCAGGCTGTGGGTGGGATCCCTAGGTACCCCTTCCCCTCACACCCCCAAACACCAAGCCCAGCAACTTACAAATAAATACATGAGCATAAATCCATAAAAGCAGAGCCTTTCACAAGGGCTAAAAGGAAGACTTCCAAAAACCTGCTTGGGAAAGGAGTTCTGGTGACTGCCTCTTTGCTCTTTGGCTTTGCATTGCCCACCTGGTTCTGGATTTCTGCGTGGCTTCGTCTTTCAAGGCTCGGAAATACGAGTTCTAAAGAGAGTTTTTTCTACTTTCTTTTCATAAGTGAGGAAAACATCACAGTCTCTCCCTCCACAGACCTGCCAATTATGGCGACAGCATTATTTTGAAAGAAATAATTTCTGGTTTAACATGCAAAGCGCTGGTCGGGGGAGGGGGCGATAGCTGAGTTTGGAGATAATTTTTTTTTTTCTTTTCTAGTTGCTCAAGCCTGCTTTTTTGGCGCTTTCAGACCCACACACTTATGTCATGAGTCTCAAGTCTTTAATTACGGTCCTACCACTAGAAATGAAAGATAAATGGCATGGATAGAAACTTACATTTGTAGGAATCGATTTCCTGTTTTAATTGAGGGGTGTAATGTATCCATCTCTTTCAGCAGCAGAAACATGTGTGTTCTGATTCTATCTGTCTTTCTTGGATTAGGTAAGTCTTAGAAAAGGGAGAAACAATGACAGAAACATCCTCCCCATCGGTGTCTTTTCACTTTCTTTAAATAGATGCAGGTTTTCTTCCCCCATGTAATTACAAGCTATAAATATCAATAACGTGAAGTAGAATTTGTACTGTGAATACCCTCTAAAAAGGAGCCATTCCTTGTCTAATTCAGGTTGAGAATTGCTGCCTCTGTTTTTTTTTTTTTTTCTTTTTTATTAATTCACTCAGCCTCACGTCTTTCGGTGAGGCTTTTCACTTTCTCTGCTACTTGGAAAGCGGTCAGGAAATTAATTTTTTAAGCTATGAGTCTCTGGTCTCCAAACTGCTTGTGGAAAGCACCTCCTGGCTGCTGAGAATCCACAGCGGTGAACATGAACCCACAGAGCTACACATGTGCAGGCTGAAAAGCCCAGTGTGGTGAACAGCGTGAGTCTCATCTTGTGGCGAGCCCCTGGCTGCCCTCAATGCCAATGCGTGCCCAGCAAACAGAAACGAGAGACCCCTCCTGTCTCTCATGAGCAAGTCTCACCTACAGCTTCTATGCAGCCTGTAAACACATACAATGTGTGCACAGGAAACAGTCTAACACAGTGGCCAAATGATAATAAGTAAAATGCAAAACAGTGCTATTTTCTCAAAAACCTCAGCTATCATGGAGGGAAGAGGGAACCACAGATGAGAAAAGTGAAGAAGAGGGCCATGTATTTATAGACCAGTGAATTAGCGGACTTGACTATGGGGTTTTACTTTCTAACCCTCCCCTAAAGCTCAGGCAACACTGCATTAGTCAATTTCATTTGAAAACATCCTCAGGAAGAGAAAGCCTGGGTTACACACGGGCAGGAAGCTGACAATTACATAAAGCTGTTCTGCCTCTGTGAGAGGCTTGCTTTCCTAAGAGCTGTTTTGTGTCTGTCCTCTGTACCCTCCCATATGCAGACTGACAGTCATATAGATCTTGTCACACACGCGACAGCTTCAGGACAAGGTTTGGAAAGAGGGTGAAATGGACAAGCTCAGCTCGGAGAAGCTGAGAAGTCTGCCAAATACTTCACATGCATGGTCAGGTCAGGATCCCCCGTCATGTCATTCGACTGTGCATACTTTGTGCATGAGTCAGCCTTTTCACCATGAGAGTCACATGGATGAGCCTCGAAGAAGCTCTGAAACTGGCTCCACTGATGACCACAAGGATGAACTGAGTAATCCCTGTCCTGGCTGTGAATATGCTCTTTAAAGGTCACTCTATCCTGAGTGCTCACAGCCTGAAGAGAGAGGAATGCGCAGTATAGACACCAGGCAGGAAGAACATGCCCAGCAGCCCGGAGGGCTGGAGGAGCTGGAGGGTTGCCTACTTGTGGAAGTCCTCGATGCAGTGAATGAGCCCGCCAGCATCCACGGTGAATGGGATGCCATCCAGGCTGCGGTGGCACATGATGCAGGTGAAGCAGTGAGGGTGATAGGCCTTCCCGGTGGCTCGGAGAATGCGCTCCATGATGGGCTTGGAACACACGCTGCACTGCTCCAGCGTATTCTGAGGAGGGAAAGGACACGCTGGTGTTAGGCTGGGACTGATCGCTACGCAGGCCAAACGTTCTTCAAGGATCCGGCCCCCACTCACAGCATCCTGAGGAGGGCAGGGTGTGTATGGCTCTTACAGAAGGAGATGCGATTGGATGAGCTACGGGCTCTTTCTGAAGTCACCTAGTGTTAGACAGCAAACCTAGGATTTTGAACCTGTGCTTTCTGATGACTACCCTTGCCCCTGTCCAGGGTCACAAGAGTGACAGCAACGCTTCTGTAACTATTTCTGGCTTTGTTGTGACACCTCAGCTTTGCCCTTATACTGCAAAGGCTGCTGCAAACAGCATGTAAACAAATGAACATTGCTTTGCTGCAGTCAAATTTTATTCACAGAATCAGATAACAAGCTGGATGCGGCGCATAGCTGGGTTATGATCATAGAGCTAACTCAGTTAGGCTCCCTCCTTGGACAAAGCTTCACTATTATTTCTAAAACTTAATTTATCATCTAAGGTCTCTATGGGATGGTAACAAGGTCCCTAACTTTTTAAAGCATTGTCTGACGGCCCAGGCAACGTACGCTAGCTCTAAAATCCAAATCTGAGTGTGGCGCAATCAATGGGACTTGGATCATGAAATAATTTGAGTTGAACTCTATCTTTACATTTTGGGTCTAGGAACACTTCAGAAGAAATGTTGAATACAGTGGGTGTCCTGGTTTTTCAAGTTGAAGTAAGAATGCAATTTATCTGGCTTTAAAAACACATACCAGTATGACTGTAAGAGGTATTATTCAACTCAGAAAGACCCACACTTCACTTCTCGCCCTTCCCCTCAGGTCTCCCACCTTCACCAAGCAAGCATGGTTCACATGATATGCTGTGTTCCTACTGAGCTATCTGGCAGAGCTCACTGGAGTCTGGAATGAAACTCAGACGAGGCTCTCAATAGGAAGAGGCAGAGTTGGGTGGGCTGTGGGAATGAGGGAGCATCTGTCCTCTCTCCCATGAGGATTCCTGTGAAGCAAGATGTGTCTATGTGCATGGGGCTGGTGTCCCCACAGCAACCTGTGACAATGCCCTCTGCCTTTGCTTCTTTGTTTGCATGGAGTCTCCGAGCCCCCTCCAACACTTCCTTTGGTGTCGAAGTGACTCTCAGTTTTCTTTCCAAAACAATGAAGGGTTTTCCTGATAAAGAAAACCGAATGGCTCTGACATCTAAAAAGAGCTCATTCTGTCGGTGCTCATCAACCTCCTTTTCTAGTTTAGCTTCTTGTAACTTCTCAGACCCAGCTGTCTGTTCCAATCTATGAGAAAGTGGCATACTTTTGCACCCTGGCCAATGCCAACTTGAGTCGCAATTTACCATTCTGACCTGTTAAGCTATCTCCTTGATAGTCCCAGGTGGAGCTGGCTCTTCCTTTCTCTCTCCTTGCGGAGCACCTTACTGTTCTCACAGTATTTCCTATGCGTCCTTAATTAATGTTATTTGGGCATTTGTCTATTCCTTTACCAGATTTGTCATTTAATGAAGGACATAGA